TCAACATACAAAAATCAGTTGGATTTCTCTACAGTGACAAAAAGAATACAGAGCCAGAACTAAGAGAAACAATACCTTTCACAATAGCTGATCACAAGATTAATCTGGTTTCTGAAGCTGTAAATTCTTCATTAAGTCAGATCTCCAAGGTAGTTGTGGATTTGAACCAACAACCTTTCAGTTAACACCCAGTTGCCTCCCACTGAGCTACCAAGGCTCCTTTTTCTGGGGGCTAGGAGACTAAAATCAGGGCATGGCAGAACTACGTCTTTCTCTGTCTCTAGAAGAAAGGGACCCTACTGGTTCTGTGGATGAAGCGTAGAGCTAACTGGACAGTTGAAGATGTGACGTTATGCTTCCGTAAAGGCCTGGGAGACCCTCAGGGGCAGTTCCACTCTCTCCCTCAGGGTCCCTGTGACAGGAAAGTCCCAGGCTCTGGCAGCCCAGACAGCGTCTGAGCTTCTAGCTGCTTCTTTAAATGCAAGCTTCTCCTGTGTGTGACTCCATTCCCTGTCTGCTCTTCTCGTATTAACACCCCTCAGGATAAATTCCGGTTAGAACTGCCCTTTCCTGGTATGGGCTCTTTAACTGATCTCACATGACATAAGACTCAGACACCTTGGGTTCTGCCCCCCACCCTCTACCCCTCATCTTTTTCCTCTCCTGTAACCCCAGATTGCTTTCTGCTTGCCTGCATCCCTGTTGACCTTTGACCTGGGGCGGGGCGGGGTCTTGTTGCAGCTTGACAGCGATGACCTCCTGGAAAACCCCGGGGAGGCCCAAAGTGCCTTCTATGAAGGTCCTGGGGTAAGTGGTCCAGGCTGCAGCCAGTGGGGGCTCTGACGCAATAGGGAGGGTTGGGGCTCACGCCCGGAGGGGCTCAGAGGGCAGGGACCTCTCCACTGAGCAGCATGGGGGGAGGCAGCAAGCAGTGAAGGAACAGGGGCTCTGGAAGGCATGTGCACAGGCCTCAAGTTTCTACCTGTATAATGAAGGCAAGGAGGTGGGCAGAGCCCAGGGCACGAGACGTGCATTGAGTCCCCATTGTGTGCCCATCTCTGTGCCAGGTCTTTTAATAAGTGACTGGTAGATGCATAGCCCCCACCCCCACCACCCGCCTCAGCACACCCCTCCCCGCCTTCCCTCTTCTCCCCCCAACTTCTCTCCCCCTTCCCTCCTCCTATCCTTCCTTCTCTCATTCATTTCTCTGTTGCTTATTCTTCATTGTTGTAACTCCTGCTTATTCACCATTCACAGTCTGCCAGCCCTTTGCACTACCAAGGGGTTTTCCCCACATAACGCGCCCTTGTAACTAATGTATGCATATAACGCTCCTGGTGCTCATTGGAAAGTAACTCGGGAGGGTTTGAGTGTTGAATCCTCCCAACAATGGTAATATCTCAGTTTATCTTTGGTAACTGGTGCCAAGTGTTGTCAAATCTATTCCAATTCATAGCACCTCCATAGGACGGGAAAGAACTGCCCCATGGGGTTTCTCAGGCGGTAATCTTTCATCGGAAGGAATCCTGGCGGTACAGTATTTAAGCACTTAGCTGCTAACAGAAAAGGCCGTGGTTTGCATAAGAGATGTGGCAGTCCGCGGTCATGAAGACTGCAGCCTCAGAAGCCCGATGGGGTGTCTCTGCCCTCTCCTGGGGGCCACCATGAGCAGTGGGTTTAGATGTGATAATGGGGTTAATCTTGACAGTATTTTCTTCCAGGGCGTCTGGTATTAATAACATCCCAGATTAAATCCGGAAAGTCTACAAACATGCACTCTCCTCCTGTGATCAGTTTGATGATCCTGTTTTTATCTCAGCATCACAATCATTATTATTCTTCCCATGATTATTCTCTGTCATCATGGTTGTTTGTTACTGTCTCTGGGGGACCCAGTCAGGGTCTCGGCACCTTCTATACAGCATCGTCCCTCAGTCCCACCTGGCATATTTTGTGGTCACCTTTTCATAGCAGATAAAGCAAAGGCTTAGTGGGGAGAGGGGAGGGCGGCCAGCAGCAGCTGTTTTTAAACAGAAACTTAGTAAGCGCCCCTTGCTAAGTCAGCAGTCACCCTCCACTCCTCCTGTCCGAGCCCCTTGCAACACCTGCTATGGAGTCGATTCTGACTCAAGGAGCGCCCCCACGTGTGTCAGAGTGGAACTGCACTCCACAGGATTTGCATGGGCTAATTTTTCAGGCGTGAGTTGCCAGGCCTTTCTTCCTAGGCACCTCTGAGTGAACCAGAACCTTCAGCTTTTCAGTTACAGCTGAATGCCTTGAGCATCAGCTCCACCCCGGAACTTGCAACCTTTAGCAAAACTGCTCCTCTCACTGGATTTGTCTGCGCTGTGTCTTCCATGCAAAAGTATGTCTTTACTGTCACGGGACCCCCGATGTTCATCCGAAGGCTCTGGGGTCAGGCGTGTTGCCGATTCCAGAACTGTTCTGATTTGGGGCAGGTGACGGCAACGTCAGTGTGACACACGCACTCATCCTCCTTCAGCTTGGGAATCACGTGGATAAATGCTTTCCCTGGGTGTTGTGAAGAATTTGGTGGTTCTCGGAGCACTTAAGACAAAATCATTTGTTCAAATAACATGCTGCTAACATGCCAGGGAAAATGAAGCGCCTCCCCGGATGGACTGTCACAGCGGCCACCACAGAGGACAGAGCACAGCAGCCCCTGAGGGCAGAGCAGGCCGAGTTGTGTTCTGAGTTGGGGCTAATTTGGTGGCGCAACAACACGGAGTGTGGAGGAGCCTGGTTGGCACAAGTGGTTTGCGCCTGGCGACTGACTGAAAGGCCGAGGTGCAGACTCACTCGGCAGCACCATGGAAGAAAGGCCTGGTGATCTGTTTCCCATAAAGGTCAGAGCCAAGAAAACCCTGTGGAGCAGTTCTGCCCTGTGACACATGGGGACAGTGGGAGTAGATTGGCTGGTGGGTATGAGGGGAAGCTGGGGCCAGGCTAGGCCAGTCCAGGCTGCATAGCTGACTGCTGGGGGAGATGGCCTTCGAACCCAGGACTGGCCACTTTGGTGCTGTCTCTGATACTCTGGAGCCAAAGCATCCACCACTCCCGCTATGAGTTTGCACTAACTCGCCTCTTTTCCTTCCTACTTCCCCTGGCTTCCAGCTCCATGTCCAAGAAACTTCTGGCAACCACCTGAACCCCGAGCCCAGCCAGCCAGCGCCCAGCGTGGACCTCGACTTCCTGGAAGATGACATCCTGGGCTCGCCCTCGGCTGGGGGTAGCGGTGCAGGCGGTGGGGGCGCTGACCAGCCATGCGACATCCTCCAGCAGAGCCTCCAGGAGGCCAACATCACGGAGCAGACGCTGGAGGCTGAGGCCGAGCTGGACCTGGGCCCCTTCCAGCTGCCCACCCTGCAGCCAGCGGATGGGGCCGGCCCAGCGGGGACAGCGGCCGTGGCCACAGGGACGCAAGCCCTCTTCCCTGGCGGCGCCGATCTGCTGGGGCTGCAAGCGCAGCCCACCGTGCTGGCCCACCAGGCCCTGGTCCCACCCCAGGACGTGGTCAACAAGGCCCTGAGCGTGCAGCCCTTCCTGCAGCCTATGGGCCTGGGCAACGTGACATTGCAGCCCATCCAAGGACTCCAGGGCCTGCCCAATGGCAGCTCGGGGGGCGCTGCCACTGCCACACTCGGCCTGGCCCCCATTCAGGTGGTGGGCCAGCCCGTCATGGCCCTCAACCCGCCCGCCTCCCAGCTCCTCGCCAAGCAGGTGCCTGTCAGTGGCTACCTGGCCTCGGCGGCTGGCCCCTCAGAACCGGTAACGCTGGCATCAGCTGGCGTCTCATCCCAGGGAGCCGGCCTGGTCATCCAGAAGAACCTGCCCGCTGCTGTGGCCACCACGTTGAATGGGAACTCTGTGTTTGCAGGGGCGGGGGCTGCCACGGCTGCAGCCACCGGGGCTCCCTCGGGACAGCCGCTGGCAGTGGCCCCGGGCCTGGGCGCGTCGCCTCTCGTGCCAGCACCCAACGTGATTCTGCACCGCACGCCCACGCCCATCCAGCCCAAGCCCGCCGGTGTGCTGCCCCCCAAGCTCTACCAGCTGACGCCCAAGCCCTTTGCCCCAGCGGGCACCACGCTGACCATCCAGGGCGAGGCAGGGGCCCTCCCACAGCAGCCCAAAGCCCCCCAGAACCTGACTTTCATGACAGCAGGCAAAGCGGGCCAGAACGTGGTCCTGTCGGGGTTCCCAGCACCCGCCCTCCAGGCCAATGTCTTCAAGCAGCCACCGGCCACCACGCCAGGGGCCACCCCACCGCAGCCCTCCGGGGCCCTGAGCAAGCCCATGAGCGTCCACCTCCTGAACCAAGGCAGCAGCATTGTCATCCCTGCCCAGCACATGCTGCCCGGCCAGAACCAGTTCCTGCTGCCCGGCGCCTCGGCCGTCCAGCTGCCCCAGTCGCTCTCCGCCCTCCCGGCCAACGTGGGGGGCCAGATCCTGGCGGCCGCAGCTCCCCACGCCAGCGGACAGCTCATCGCCAACCCCATCCTCACCAACCAGAACCTGGCCGGCTCGCTGAGCCTGGGCCCCGTGCTGGCCCCCCACTCCGGGGCCCACAGCGCTGCCCACATCCTCTCAGCCGCCCCCATCCAGGTGGGCCAGCCGACACTCTTCCAGATGCCCGTGTCCCTGGCTGCGGGCAGCCTGCCCACGCAGAGCCAGCCCGCCCCGGCTGGCGCCACAGCCACCACCGTCCTCCAGGGTGTCACCCTGCCGCCCAGCGCCGTGGCCATGCTCAACACCCCCGACGGCCTGGTGCAGTCGGCCGCCCCTGCCGCCCCCGGCGAGGCCACGTCCGTCCTGGCCGTGCACACGGCCACCCAGGCGCCCCCCGCCGTCAGCACGCCGCTGCCCCTGGGCCTCCAGCAGCCACCGGTGCAGCAGCCCCCGCAGGCCCCGACCCCGCAGGCCGCCACGCCGCAGGCCACCACCCCGCAGCCCAGCCCAGGCCTGGCGTCCAGCCCCGAGAAGATCGTGCTGGGACAGCCGCCCACAGCCACCCCCACGGCCATCCTCACTCAGGAGTCCATGCAGATGTTCTTGCCCCAGGTAGGTGGGGGGACGGTGAGGGGCTGGCCAGGGGACAGGCAGGGTCCAGCCGGTGGCTCTGCAGGCAGCAGCAGCAGCAAGGAAGTGGGCAGTGTGGTGCTGGGGCGCTGAGGCCGGGAGGGGGTGTTCTGTGTTCAGTGACACCGGTGCTCCAGCAGCCGGAGTGCCCAGGAGCAGGCCCACGTGGCAGAGGGAACAACTGAGGGACTGACGGGGAGCGACTGAGGAAGTGACAGGCAGGGGGAAGCTGGCTGATGACTTGGTCAGCTGCCTGGATGATGAGGAGAGAGACGGAGAGGCTGCCTGACAGACGGATGAGGTGAGAGAGACTGGCTAGCAGATAAGAAGAGCAGCGGCCGATTGACTGGTGGACGGACAGACAGACAAGGAGAGGGACTCACGGGAAAGGAGAGAGACAGATAACGGGAAGTTATGACATATTATGTTATATGCCATAGAGTTGCATATGACTCATAGTGACCCTAGGTGCAATAGCTCTGAACCCTGCCCTATTATAATAATGACAGCAGAAAGACAGAGCAGGGTTACAGAGGTAGCAAGAGCTGGCTGAAATAGTGACTACTGGGTGGATGGACAGAGGAGGGAGACAGACTGGCAGACAGAACACGGACAGGAGGAGAGGGTGGCTGAGTGACTGATAGACACTGACAAGGAGTGGAACCAGCTGGACAGGGAGGCTGGATGGTTAGATGAGGACCACAGGGGAGGCAGGGGTTTGGCATGTGTCCAAACATCCGAGCAGGAGCGGTCAAGGACATACAGACAGACAGTCCAAGGTAGTAGCCTCAGGGTGGTGCCCAGCCTTGCCCAGGCCTCGCCCAGGCCTCTTGGGCACCTCCCTCCCAACCTCCCCCTGTTTTGCAAGGTGGTTGGGGGGCAGAAGGAATGCAGGGGGCTTTCTGACCCTTTGTGGGTGCCCATTGCAGGAAAGGAGCCAGCAGCCCCTCCCCACAGAGGGCCCCCACCTCTCCGTGCCCGCCTCGGTCATAGTCAGCGCCCCACCTCCCACCCAAGACCCAGCCCCGGCCACCCCCGTCGCCAAAGGAGCTGGCCTTGGCCCTCAGGCCCCTGACAGCCAGGCCTCCCCGGTTCCGGCCCCCCAGGTAGACACACCCCGCCTCCCCCACCCCAGCTCAGCAGAGCTTTGCCCCCCGCACCCGGCCCTGCCTCCCCGCTCCATCCCCCTGCTCTCAGCTGCCCGCCTGCCTCTGTCTCGCTGCCTTGGGAACTGGGGCTCCTTCACTCTCTGCAGTGTCTTCTGAGATATGGGGTTCATACTCCAGGCAGAGAGACATGATACTTGGGGGACCCCATCCGGGAGGGGACCCCACCAGGGAGGGGAGTGGTTACATTTAGGTGCCGTCACGTTGGCTCCCCCTCGAGCGCCGACCCCTGCCCAGCCCCGCGCCGTCCTCAGGATCTCGGCAAGTGAGCACATTGCCGCGGTCAGTGTGTTGGTCCTTCTCATCGAGGGTCTTCCTCTCTTGCACTGACTCTGCTTTATTTACTAAGAGGTGTCCTCCAGGGACTGACCCATCTTGATCCTGCGCCCTAAGTCCATGAGACCAAGTTATACCATCCGCCTCTAAGGAGCTCTCTGGCCACCCTTCTACCAGGACAGATACGTCCACTTTCCCGTCAGCGTGTGTCATGGTCCATGTTCTTTGCCCGCCCCACAGTCAAAAGACCTCATCCGCTCTTCTGGCCTCGTGACCTGGAGAGATACGGAAAGGTGTCTGGTGACCATCATCCTCCCTGCTGGTGTTTCCAGCCCCTTCTTTCCTCCTAGGACAACTCCTTGTCTTCATTTTTAGGCAGTGCGTGGGGGTTGTGGGGTGTGTGTGTGTGTGCATGCGCGCGTGTGTTGGAGTCTGTGGACCCATCACAGCCCCTTTGACAGAGAAGAGCCACCCCACCGGGCTTTTCTCGGCCACCACCCTTACAGAAGCATTCTGCCAGGTCTAACTTCTGCAGAGCCGATGGTTCAAACCATCAGCCTTTGCCTTCACAGCCGAGCTCTTACGCACGGCGCCAGCGAGGCTCGTCCCCTCGGACCCAGGCCCGAGCCCAAATCCCCCGCGGCCGGGTCTGTTCTGAGACTGCACAGACATCCTTCGGGGTTTGCGGGGTCTTTCGTGGTCTGGTCCATAGAGGATTGCACTGCCGACTTGGAATCCTCCCCTGGCTCCTCGGGGAAGAGGTGGGCAGTCTCCTCCCGGGCCGTTTACAGCCTTGGGAACCCAGCAGAGCGTCAGCTGGGAGTCAGTTCCGGCTTAACGGCAGTGAGCCCAAGTCATGTTCTGATCTTTTCCCAGAAGATCCCTCCACCGTGAACATAAACTCAGGCCTGAGTGAGAATCCCCCTCTCCCTCCCTCCCTCCCAACCCCGGTGCTCACTCATTTTCCATCATTGTGCTGGACAGTGTGTGTCCTTTGGCGGCCACTCTCTGGTTCACCATGGTTTCTGGAGGGTCACCCGCGATGTGGCATCAGGACTCCGTTCCCCTCGTGGCCTAGCAGTGGTCTGCTCTGTGTGTTACGTGGACCGCCCTGTCGACCCGTTCGTCGGTTAATGGGCATTCTGGTTGTTTGCGCTTTTTTTTTTAATGTTTGTGCCTTTTGATCTTTGTGAAAAATACTGCAAGATGCATAAGGGTAAAGAGGTTCTACTGTTCTTTTTTTATTATTATTGTATTATTTTTACGTGTACCGTCAAATCGGATCTGACTGGTACAGGAGGAGATTGCCCCTCCTTCTCCAGCAGAGCATCTGGTGGATTTGAACCGCACACCTCTGGGATTGTGTTCTTTTTAAAAAATAAAATACTAGTCACCAATTGATAAGATGATCTTGCACCATTATTAATGGGTTGCTGTGTGTGTGGAGCTCTGGTGGTGTAGTGGGTAAGGAGCTGCGCTGTCAGCCGGAGGGCCAGCCACGAGTCTGTTACAACTTGACAGCAATGAGGGAAAGATTATGTGGGGTTTAGAGAAACCTGGGGGGGGGGGGTCAGTTAGCAGGTGGTGTTGCTGTGCATCTCCATTGGTTCGAATCCACCAGCAGCTTTTTAGGAGAAAGATGGACAGTTTATAGCCTTAGCAAGCCAGCAGATGGTCAGTTATGAGTCTGAATCGACTCCTTGGATGAATTTGGCTTTTACGTATAGGGTAAGGTTGTAACAGGCAGAGAAGGTGTTCCTGGTGATACTCTGCTTAAAGCATTTGCCTGCTAAGCTGAAGGTCAATGGTTTGAACCCACCAGCAGCAGTCTGGACAGCCCTGGATGCTGGGGTGGGGGGCAGTTTTGCTCTCTCCCAGGGGTCCCTGTGAGTGGGACTCAAGGTCCCAGTGCTGAGTTTGAGTTTCTGGTTAACACAGAGTTCAAAAGTCTCTGCCCAGGAGGATTGATGCCTGGGCATCAAAGGAAGGCGTGGAAGCTGAGAACGTGAAGCCCAGAACCCAACTTTTCCCTTTCAAATCCTGGCTCTGCCTCTTACGAGCTCTCAGAGGGTTCTGTGCCTCAGTCTTTACTTGTAAAAATGAGATTGACAGTTATCTTCAGAGGGTGGCTGGGAGAATTTATAAAGATGGATGGTGAGGAGATTGAGATAGTTAACAGTTTTAATTTACTTGGCTCCACAGTCAACGCTTTTGGTAAAAGCAGCCAGGATTCAGGAGACGAATTGTACTGGGAAAGTCAGCTGTGAGGGACCTCTCAAGAGTACTGAAGAGCAATGATATCAGGCTGGAGACTAAGGTGTGCCTGATCCGGGCTATAGTCTTCGCAATTATGTGCTATGCATCAGAGAGTTGGACAGTGAATAGGACTGATAGAAAGAGGATTGATGCCTTTGAGCTGTGGTGCTGGAGAAGAGTGTTGAATATACCATGGACTGCTAGGAGAACAAACAGGTTTGTCCTGGAGAGGGTGAAGCCAGAGTGTTCCCTGGAGTCAAGGATTCTGAAGCTTCGTCTGACATATTTTGGGCATGTTGCAAGGAGGGACTGGTCCTTGGAAAGGGACATCATGTTTGGCAGAGTGGAGGGGAAGCGAAGGAGAGGAAGACCTTTGATGAGATGGATCGATTCTGTGACTGGGGCAGTGGGAATAAGTGCGTTTGAGATGGCTAGGTTGGCGCAGGATAGAACAGCATTTAGAGCTCTTGTACATAGGGTCTATGAGTCTTGTACATTCCGACTATGTGTCGGAAGCGACTCGATGGCACATAACAACAACAATAACAACAACAATAACAACAACAATGTGAGGAAAGTGCAAAGAACAATGCTGGAAATGTTCACAATCCCATGTAAATCTTAAAACACACCACCGCCGCCGTTACCATTGATTCCAGCCCCTGGCAGAACAGAATAGACACAGATACATGAGTTGTGGAGCCGGGACCAAGCTCCGTACCGTTTTCTTGGCCAAGATCTTTTTGGCGGCAGATCACCAGGCTTTTGTTCCGTGGCGCCGCCTGGAGGTTTGAACTACTTGCCTTTCTGTTGGGAGAGCAGCCCCCATTGGTCTCACCACCCAGAGACCCTTTGAATAGAAAAACCCCTCCCTACACATAAGCCTCGTCCTCAGGCCTTGCTGTGTGGGAAAACATGGGAGTTTCTAGAAATAGAATTGCCAGATCAGAGGGTGTATAGAGTACAGGTTAAAAAAAAGAGTGGAGAAGTGTGAAGCTGGCTGAGCCCCCAGAAGGGCTGTGCCAGTGAAGGCTCCCTCCCCGCCGCCTGCCACATGCCAGCCACCCTGCTCTTCTCGCATCCGACTTGAAGCTGAGCATGTTGTCTGCTGCACCTGGAGGGCACGGGGGATGGGATTGGCATTTCTTGGGAAACAATCCCCTCATACGGTGAATTTTTTTTCTTTTTTTTTTGTATTTTATTATTTTTTTGTGTGTGTGTACCGTCAAATCAGATCTGACTGGTACAGGAGGAGATTGTCCCTCCTTCTCCAGCAGAGCATCTGGTGGATTCGAACTGTGCACCTCTGGGATTGCAGTGCAGCTTCCTGCCACTAGACCACCAGAACTCCCTGGTAAATTTCTTTTTAAATGACCATAAAAATAATTGTATGGGGGAGCTCTGGTGGCCTAGTGGCAAGGAGCTGCAACTACAATCCCAGGGGCGCATGGTTCAAATCCACCAGGTGCTCTGCCGGGGAAGGAGGGACAATTTCCTCCTGTACCAGTCAGATCTGATTTGATGGTACACTCACACAAAAATAATAATTAAAAAAAAAATAATTGTATGCACTTTTAGAGATTTTGACAAAGAGAAACCAAATAAGTCAGATGACTGGCCCACAATTCCACTGGGCAGAAGCAACTTGAGATATTTTGGTATGACATCTTCTAAAAAAACCCCATATTTTTAAATTAACCATATGTTGGCACAAATGGCATGTGTGTTGAATGGTTTTTACAAACCACACACAACTCTCTCATGGGTTAGTTTCCTTTGAAATAGTCTGTAACTTGAAAAATGAGAAAAAAAGAGGAGGGAAATATATAACCACCACAGGCACCCTGATGGTGTCATGCATAATGCATTGTGCCACTGAGCAAAAGGTCAGTGGTTCAAATCCTCCAGCTGCTCTGAGGGAGGAAGATGGGCCATCTCCTCCCATAAAGATTTACAGCTGCAGAGCCCCAGTGACGGACTCCAGGAGCCAGACTTGAGCTCCAGCCGTGGGTTTCAGCATCACAGCAGCAAGAAGCCACCGTGGTAGATGACACACTGATGGCGGTGGCTAGTTACCTAGTGCTGTGTGATGGCTTTCAAGAAGAGAAATTTATTTCTTGGTCGGAAAGGATAAGTCTAAACCAGGGTCTTTTTTTTTTTTCTATAATTATATTTTATTAATTTTCATAAACATTTACAGAGATTTTGGGCTTCCACTCATTCATTGTTGCACTATTCTCTCTACCCTCCTCCCAGTTTGTTCTTGTCCAAATGCCACAGTGCTTGTCAAAGCCAGTTCTGATTAATCTTCTTTGTCAGTGTATCCTTTGCCATTCCCTATCACTCCTCCCTGAGAGAGACTTCACCCTGAGTCATAAGGAAAAGGGGACGGCGTATTCTCTTAGCTA